TCTGTTTTTATTTTATCATATTTTTTCTGTGAGTGTTTGTTTTTGTGTGTTTTGCAGAACGTACGGTTTGAATGGCTACACTTAACAATTTCCACCTTGCGCAATGAGGGATATGCGTGGGAGTTTTTTTTTTTCTTTTTTCTTTTTTTGTTTTTGTATGAATTTATTTATGTTTGTTTCTATATTTGTGTATATGTGGGCGAAGGCATTTTTAGTAATAAACGTATGGTTTTACGACGGAATTCCCCTATCTATCTATCTATATTTATATTTATATTTATATTTATAAAGTTATATAGATATAGATATAGATATGGGAATTTAAATATGGACTCCCTGTTGGGTATGGATTTCACTTATATCTTTATATATATATATATAATATATACGTATGGCCATAAGAAATATATGGAGGAAAAAACAAAACAAACAAACAAAAAAACCCAACAAACAAACCACACACACACACATACATGTATATATATATATATATGCACATATATGTATGTATATGTTATACATGTATAAAATATATATTTTCCTTTTTTTTTTTCTTTTTTTTTTTTGATTTTTCTATTAGGGTGGATGGTAATGTGGAGGCTATTCGTTATGGATGATTCTTCTCTCTGTCTGTCTGTGTGTATCCGTGTGCGTTTCTGTTTTTTTTTTTTTTTTTTTTTTACTCTTTTTTGTTGTGTTCTCCGCATCATATATATATATATTTCTTTGGAAGAAACAAGAAGGAACTGCCAATTCACCACAGTAATATATAAATATATACACATATATATATATATAGAGAGAGAGAGAGAGAGATAGAGACACAGATAGGGTAGGTGTATATACATACATACATATAAATTCCTTGGGGGTTTATTTGTTGGTTGGTTATTTCTTTTCTTACCTCATTATTACACTTTTTTTTTTTTTTTATTTTTATTGACTCTCACTGTCATTTTTTTTTTTCCCTCTCTTTTTGTTGCGGTTACCGTGACGAACTCATCCCTGTTGTGTTGACACTGGGCGTTGCCTTGGACCACCACTGTGCATCAGCGGTAGGAACACAACGCTTCACACGGGGGTGAATTTGTTTTGTTTAATCGCCCGGTCACCCTCCAGAGCGAGCACGTGTGACTTGGCTGCAGGCCAGTGGGCCTCTCATGGCGAGTGCGTTGCTGGACACGGCGGGTTGGGTGCACAAAACTCTGTTTTCTTTTCTGCGCCCTCTCGGACGGCAGCAGCAGCAGGAGCAGCAGGAGGAGGAGGAGGCAGAGGAGCGGGTGACGCATGATTGGAACGAGCTACCCTCACCAGCAGTGCGACCACCCGCCGGCAGTGTGGAGGTGGCGCGTGCGGGGCGCACGGCGGGTGGTGACAGCAGGTGGAGGCGCGACATATCGTCTCCATTTGTTTTTCCTGTTGCACGCCGTTCTCGGCGACGGATTCGCTCGCCAGACTCAGGCGTTTGTGCGGTGCGGGGATCGCGTGATATGACGCATCGATTCACGGAGATATTTCGTCGCTGGAGCTCCAGGAGCAGAGAAGGCAGAACCTTTGTCGACATGGAGGAAGGGACGGAGGAGGAGGAGGAAGAGGTGGCAACTGTCTCGCCCTCGACCTCATGGGCGTCGACGACGATATCGGCGAGTGCGTCCACGGCTCGTTTAAATGCCTCGCGGGGCGCAGCCGGTGGCAGTGTTGCGGGGCGTTCTCGCTCTCGCACGCTGCTGGTGCCTCAAAAAAGGCAAAAACAGCCTGTACCTGCGGATGAAATGCGGCATCGTGTCATGTCAGCGCCCCTCTCAATGTGGGAGGTTCCTCTGCTAGAAGAGATGGGGCCGAGAGAGCAGCTGAACAGCCGTGGGGCGACGGGAATGGAACATGACAATCTCGAGGGGAAAGTTCTTTTTGCACCACTGGAGCTGCCGCAAGAAACACCGCCGCCACGAACACCGCCGGTCGAGGGCGCTTTTCTCAGCCAAAAGGACTCTCCTGGTGTCACTGTCGCCTCTCCCTATTTTCCCCACATGACGGCAAACAGGCCGAGCACCGTACGGGAACGAGATGCCCACCAGTTGGCCCTTCACATCCGTGAAATGAGGGCGCTGTTGCCGCGTGGATACGGATGGAGAGAACCACCAGTGGGAGATGCGTCGCATGACCCAAACGAGCTGAAATTTCCTGGGGGAAAACCACCACCGCCATCGCCAGCCTATGCGATAAAAGACTCGGTTGTCTTTGATGATCTTTCTTGTAGTCTTTTGCTCTCGGCTGTCACGGAGGACGATCGGCGTGTGCGTGTTGTTTACGAGGACATGATGCATACTGTGTGCAAGGGAATAGTGGAAGACGAAATCCACAAATACATCCAACTCATGGAGGGTGTGGCTGAGCGAGCGTTGGATTATTGGGTCATCGACATTGTATTGAAGGACACGGCGGATGCGATGAAGCGAGTTTTCCCTGCATGGAGTTTATCCAGGGGTATTCAACGTCATATCAGGGAGCGAAAAGCGGTTGTTTTAACTGCCTTGGTGGAAGATGAAGAGGACGAGGAGGTGTATGGACTTGTCTTGCATCGAGGTAGAAGAGACAGTAGCCAAGCTAATGGGGTAGCCGTGTCGTTCCAAAGTGGATTGTCCCTGAGTTACCAGCAAATCGCCACCTTGGGCCCGGGCCAGTGGCTTAACGACCAGGTCATCAACGCGTATCTGAGTATGATCTGTGACGAGCGCAACAATACCAGCGGTAAAGAGGAGGTGGTTTCACTGGGTACGCACTTTTTTGCAAGGGTTGAACAGGAGTTGAAGGGGGACCTCTCCAAGGTTGTGCAATTGCCTTCTTTACAGAAAGACAGCGGTATACTTCGTTGGTTACGGCGTCGTCGTAATATCCTGCAACCAGGCGCCACACGTGTCATTCTCATTCCTGTCAATTTGTCGCAAACCCACTGGGCATTGGCTGTTTTCAATTGGGAATTTCATACATGGTTTTATTACGATAGTTACATTCGTGGCAAGGCGGCCATGACACGTGGCATTTTGGTACTTCAGCAGTTATCGCACGTGTTTTTGGAGTCTTGGCGTATTCTTTGCGACAGTGAGGGAGGAAATGCATGCCATCTAGCTGACTGCAAACTTGTGGTGGCTGAGCCATTGCGTGGGAATGAACGCTCCTACGATGGTGGCTTTGCTTTTGCCCCACAACAAAGTAATTTGTATGACTGTGGCGTCTTTGTTTGCCATATGGCCTGGTGTGCGGTGCATGGTGTCGCCACAGTGTTTACTCAAGAGGATGTGACTGCGCATCGAAGGGCTATGCTGCACGAACTTCTCTGCCAAAAGAGTCTTTTGCAGTTTCCCGTGAGCGCCTTTTTGACACCGTGATGTACTTTTGTGATTTTTTCAACTTCAAATGCAAATCCAATAACCTTGATCTCTATCCCATCTTCTCTTTCCCTCTTTCTTTCTCTGTTTGTGTATATATATATTTGTGTCTGTGCATGTTTGTAGTGGTGATTGTTGTCTTTAAATGTTGTTTCTTATTGTGCCCGGTTCAATTACTTGTTTTTCCATTTTTTCTTTCCCTAATATATCACCATCTCACATCCCTTCTTTACTCTCGTGTGTGTGGAGGGTTTTGGAAGTGGCACTGTAGCGAAGGAGGCAGGGAAAAGGAAAGGAGGAAAGGGACAGGGTGAGAATAAGGATAAGAGATTGTTGTTTATAAATACATACATACATAAATAAATAAATAAAAAAATATATATATATTTATATGGGACAGCGCGGAATTTTCTCCAGTGGGAGCAGCTCTAAGCGAAACCCCAAAGGCACCAAGTCACGTGGTTGCACTCAATCCCCTTGGATGGACAGGGTGCTCCCGACGGTGCCTAGTGATATGGAACCAGCGCCGCTGCTGGCTGTGGAGGCAGCTGCTGCCCGCAACTCATGGCTTTCCACGACGGAGTCTGCGCTTACCAATGAGTGGAAGGCCGGGAAGAAACGACAACAAATGGGGGTCAGCTCCACCTCCCCACGCGTCCCGCTCACATGTCCTTCTGTGCCATTTCCGGCCAGCCGTAGTTCGGGAATTTGGCATGCCAGTGCAGATGATAGGGAAACATTGGAGATTCCTGTCGGAAAAGATTTTTTTTTAGCGCTGCGTGCGGCCTGGCGAAAAGAGCCTCCTACAGCAGAGAGGCACAAAATACCCCCTCCCACTGACCCGAGGGATCTTGATGAAGATTACATTTGCTTTGCAATTGAGGAACCTGTTGGAAATGTCATGTCGCCACCAGTACCGCTTTCATACATGGTTTCGGAAATCCTCGTGCCGCAATGGACGGTAGACGGTCTGTTTGATGTACCCACGGTGCACAAAGGGATATGAAATCAATTACTCTTGCAACATCGTAGTGGATGCTGGTTTTAATGTTATTCCCACTCTTTCTCCTTGTGTGTGCTTGAAGGAAACTGAAGGGATTTATGAGGAAATGGAAGAGAAGGGAGTAGCGGAGAAGCGAAGAAAGAAGGATAAAAAAAAAAAAAAATAAGGAATGAGACGGGAAGCGAGGGCAAGGGAAGAGAAATGTAAGGGAGCCGGCATCAGTAGCCAATAAAAAGAGGAAAACAATGAAAAAGAAAAGGATTTTATTAGGATTATGTTTGTGTGTCTGCAGAGTGGAAGGAAGTGCGGCTAAAGGGGGGTGTTTGGCTTTTCAGTTCCGTTTTCTTTTTTTTTGTCTCTTGACTTTTGGCGTGCTGTTTGCCTGCTTTGCCCCTCACTCCCCGCCGTTTTATTATTATTATTAGTTCCTTTTTTTTTTTTGTGTGTGTGTGTTCCCTCTGTGGTTTGCGTGCTTGCTGCCAACTCTTCTTCCTGTTGGTGGTCTTTGCTGCGTCTGCCGGACTTTTTTTTCCCTTTTCTTTCTGTTTCTCTTTCCTTTTTATTTCTCCCCTTTTCCGTGTATGCATATGTTACTTTGTGTGTATGTATGTATGTGTGTATATTCGTCTATGCTGCTTGGGTGAAGTGTTATGTGCGTTTTATTTTGCCCGGTTATTGAATTTATTGCGGTTTGATGTAGGCATTTCCCTCTTCTCTCCTTTTTTTTTCTTTTTTTCTTTTTTGTATTATTTTTATTTGATGAATCCACCTGACACGTTTCTCACGACTTCTGCTTGTTTTTTTTTTTTTTTTTTTTTTTTTTTCTTTTTTTTGCGGGCGGATGCTTACGGACGGACGGATTTCTACTC